AAAAAAAAAAAAAAAAAAAAAAAAAAAAAAAAAAACAACTTTTTTTTTAAGGCCTAAGAGTCCCAAGCCCCTTGGAGGTCTCAGTTCAGTGAATCTAGCATGGGGTCGAAAACCTGCTTAGTTTCATGAGCTTCCCGCCTGGTCCAGCGGGTTAACAGTGCTCCCGAAGAAGCTGTGATAGTTAGTTCTGGTTTGTGAAGGAGGAAACTGAGGCTTAGAGAGGCCAAATGTTCTGCCCAAGGTCATATAACAAGTGTGCAATAGCTGAGCCATGGCTCAGAGACGACAGTCTGACTCCGAGCCAGTGCGCTTAAAAACCACACTGCTGTTGTCATCTTCCCTTATGGGCTGTCTTGCCCCGCCCCGCCTCTCTTTCTCAGGATAGCCTGGGTTTCCATGGACCTTCTCCAAAACCTCTAAGGTTTTGCTTCCATATTCAGAGTCTGAGTCTCATCACTCGCATTCCCTCCTCCCGCCCCCCACTGTCACCTTGGCAGGGAGCCCCTTGCTGCTGCCACAGCTCCCTACAGGCCTGGCTTGCCTTTTGGGATTGCCTTGCTGAGAGTCTGCCTGGCAACTGGTGATATCACAGAACTTGATTCTGTGATTGGCTGCTTTTTTAGCAGCGGCAAAGTCTAGTTGTACTGTTTCTTCCCAATTCCCTCTTACCAGAGCCAGGGTCTGCCCCAGACTTAGGTTAACATCTCTCAAGGGGGTTACAGGAACTACCATGTATAGTGCCAGAAGAGGCAGCACTTCTGGAGAATGGAGCTTGGGAGGGGCAGGGATACAGGTTTTTACCTAAGCAGAAGATTATTGTTCAAATGGGTGGGAGGGGGAGATACGGTGACCACACAGAAACCAGAAAGCTAAGATTCAGAAGAACCATGCTGTCCTTGGAGCTTAGCTGATGCTCATTAAGGCACACAAAGCCTTTTGACCTCTGCCCTCTGACCCATAGGCTGAAGCAGATGTGGCCTCCCTGAACCGCCGCATCCAGCTAGTAGAGGAGGAGTTGGATCGGGCGCAGGAGCGCCTGGCTACAGCCCTGCAAAAGCTGGAGGAGGCTGAGAAAGCGGCCGATGAGAGCGAGAGGTGGGGAAGGGGGCCCTGGAGGGAGGCAGGTCAGGGACTACAGAGGGAGGGGCCTGCCTCTGCTGGGAATGACCCCACGTGAACTCCTCCCCCTGCTTCTCAGAGGAATGAAGGTCATTGAAAACCGGGCCATGAAGGATGAGGAAAAGATGGAGCTGCAGGAGATGCAGCTGAAGGAGGCCAAGCATATCGCCGAGGACTCGGACCGCAAATACGAGGAGGTGCCGGCCTTGCCCCGCCTTGCTTTCACCCGCAGTCCCCAAAGCCCCCGTCAGTCGCCACTGACCTACTTCTCCCTCCCACTTTCCCTCAGGTGGCCAGGAAGCTGGTGATCCTGGAAGGAGAGCTGGAGCGCTCAGAAGAGAGGGCTGAGGTGGCCGAGAGGTAAGGATGCCCTGAGGGCCGGAAGGGGGACAGTAAACAGCTAAGGGCTCGGCACTGTGTACAGAGTGGTCAGGCAGTTCCCCGGGCCAGAGGCCACAGGGACAGGCCTAGTCCTCTGATCTATGCCTGCTGCCCCCCAGCCGAGCCAGGCAGCTGGAGGAGGAGCTTCGAACCATGGACCAGGCCCTCAAGTCGCTGATAGCCTCTGAGGAGGAGGTAGTAACCTCTCTGGGCCTTTCTAGGCAATGGCACCTTTTTCTCACCTCACTTCTCACCTCGGCTCAGCATCTCAGGCTTCCGTCTCGCTCTTGCAGTAGGGATTGGGGGTGGGGGCGGGGATACGGCTTCCAAACTCAGCCTGTCACTCTCACCACTTGGCTCTTCTCTTTTCTCCTCCACCCCTCCCCCACCGTGCCACCCCTCCACCCCCCACCCCTGTCTCACCTCACTGTGCCTTCACGCTCCATCCTGCCACACACCCCTGCAGTAAATGTGGGGACCTAGAGGAAGAGCTGAAAATTGTTACCAACAACTTGAAATCCCTGGAAGCCCAAGCGGACAAGGTAGAAGGGGCAGAGGGGCAGTGAGGACTGGGTCTTGGGGTCATGCGGGGCGGAGAAGAGGGCTTAGGTAGGGAGGGCCAGGTGCTTAATGAAGGTCAGCAGAAGCCCGCGGGGTTCATGGGGAGAGCTCCAGGGTTCAGGGTGTAGGAAGCAGTTCACTGATGGCATGTGTGTGTCTCTTAAAGTATTCCACCAAAGAGGACAAGTATGAAGAGGAGATCAAACTTCTGGAGGAGAAGCTGAAGGAGGTGAGATTGCCCTGGTGGGACTCTGAGGGTTTGAGACAAGAAAGAGGGGTGGCTGTTGGGAGACTCTCTGGGAAGGCCTCTTTCTTGACCATGTCTCCAATCCCGTCTTTATTGCAGGCTGAGACCCGAGCAGAGTTTGCTGAAAGATCTGTGGCAAAGTTGGAGAAGACCATTGATGACCTTGAAGGTAAAAAAGGATGCCCCTCCACACCCACCCCCTCAGCCTGCCCCTTATCGCATCATATTTTTAAATGAGTGGGATTACCCAGGACTCTGCAGACTCCAAGGAATCATGACAGGCCACTCCAGTGCTTTTCTGGGTTTAGAATGAATGATTATCTGAAAAGTTGAGAACAGATTGATGGGGCTGTAGAGCTGGCTCAGTGGTTAAGAGCACTGGCTGCTCTTCCAGAGGACCCAGGCTGGAGTCCCAGCACCTACATGGTGGCTTACAAGCTTCTGTATCTCCAGGTCCAGGGGACCTGACACCCTCTTAAGAAAACATGTTCCTGGGCTTGGAAGAGTGGTTCAGTGGGCAAAGCACGTCCCACAAACGTGAGAACGTGAATTCTGAAACCCAGAATGCATGTAAAAGCTAGACACAGTAGCCGGTGTCTACAGTCCCAACACTCCTACACTATAGGAGAGGAAATGGGGGTGGAGACAGGAGGATGGCTAGAAGCTCAACCGGCCTGGCATGCGAAGTGATGATAAGACTTGGTCTCAAACAGGATAGAAGTTAAGGACCAACGTCAGAGTTGACCTCTGACCTCCACACAAACACCATAGCATACACACACCCACAAACACACACATATCATTATATAGTCACACAATTTTCAAAATTGGATTTCTGAGGGCTGGAGTGGTAGGTCGCATGGGAGGTGAAGAGAAAGAGAGAAGAAGAAGAAGAAGAAGAAAGAAACACAAACAAGGAGCATATAGATCCTACTCCAAATGATTGTTTTCCCTGGACAGGATCTTATTCTGTAGACCAGGCTGGCCTCAAAACTGTGGCAATCCCCTGGAATCTGACTCCACAATGCTGGGATTACAGGCTTGGGCCACCAGCTCCTTCATGCTGATCTGCCGGTCTTGCATAACACTAGTGTAGCAAATGCTACCGCTAAGGACAATGCAATGGTCTTATTGCAGAGATGCCCCACCCCTTGTGCTGGGGGTGGAACCCACACAGCCTTGTATGTTTTAGACCTGAGCTCTACCACAGACCACAAGACTTCACTGAATACAGAGATTATTATTATTATTATTATTATTATTATTATTATTATTATTATTATTATTATTATTTTGTATTGGTGATTGAACCTAGGGCTTCATACATGCTAGGCAAGTTCTTTGCCACTGAGCTATATCCCCAACCACTATTGGATCAAATGTCAGGATTTACACAACACTGTTAATGGAAGATGCTACTTTGAGCTAGCCTTAGCAAAACCAGAAATCCAGGTATCTGCTGGTCTGTGGTTACTGCTGTTATCAACAAAGGTCGCCTTTCTCTTTTATTCTGATAACCTTTTGCTTCCATTAATCCCCATGTCTCCTGTTTCCAGTCTTCTCAGGCAAGCAGGATTTTATCTCCAACTTTAGGACTTTAGACTTTCCTGGCCAGCACCCTTCCTTTCCCTCTTAAGCTTGCATGGCTGCCTGCTCAGAGCACTGCCCACAGGCTCCTGGGAGATGCTGCAGCAGGAGAGAGAAGTTGGGGTGCAGAGGACAAAAGAAGCCAGGGGAGAGAAAGGGGACGAGGAAGCCATGACTGCCATCTGGCCTGTCCTCTGGTCTCTCTCTTCCGTTCATCTCTCTGATTCTATTTTCCATTTCATAACCTTCTCTCCCTCCTTTCCTCTTCCCCTCCTCCATCTCCTCCCCCCCCCCCCCGTGCTCCTTTCCCCATCTTCCATCCTCCTCTCCTTTTCCTCCTCCCTTCCTCCCCGTGTTTCCTTCCCCCTCCCCTCCTCCCCCCCCCCCCCCCCCCCCCCCCCCCCCCCCCCCCCTCCCCTCCCCCCCCCCCCCCCCCCCCCCCCCCCCCCCCCCCCCCCCCCCCCCCCCCCCCCCCCCCCCCCCCCCCCCCCCCCCCCCCCCCCTCCTCTCCCCCCCCCCTCCTCCATCTCCTCCTCCCCTCCTCCATCTCCTCCCCGTGCTCCCTCCTCTCCTCCTCCCCTCCTCCATCCCCTCCCCTTCCCATGCTCCCTTCTCTCCTCCTCCCCTCTTCTATCTCCTCCTCCCCTCCTCCATCTCCTCCCCGTGCTCCCTCCTCTCCTCCTCCTCTTGGGACTCCCCAGATGAGGTCTATGCACAGAAGATGAAGTACAAGGCCATCAGCGAGGAGCTGGACAACGCGCTCAATGACATCACCTCCCTCTGAGTCCATACCACTGTGGCCGTTGCAGGCCCCCTTCTTCTCATCTCTCTTTCCACTCTCTTTGAGAGGGCGGGGGCAGCCAAGAGGAGCACAAATTGGCAACATTGCATAGCCGGGCCGAGGACAGCTGAGGGAGCATGCCTGTCACTTCTGTCACCTGCTCTGGCACTGGCTTCCCCCTGCTGTCTATCCACCATCCACTGACCTCCCTCCTCCTCTACTTAATAAACTCTGAACTCGGTCTCCATGCTGTTTTCCTGCCCCCCAGAGAGTCCTCCATCACCACTGTCAAAGCACTGTGTACTCCTGAGACCCTGGCTTTTACCAGCGTCCTCGGTCTTGTGACACTCAGCCCCCGCACAGAACACTGGCCCACACAGATCCTTCTGCATGGCACTCCCAGCCCGTCACTTCCTGATGACCCGTGCATGTGATATAAGTGGGTCCATCGAGCACAGCCTCCCTTCCCCTCTGCAGCCCATCGCTGACCTTGGAGCACTTAACTGGGATTCTAGAATCTGACGGAATGGCTGGAAGGGAGGTGGGGTAGTGAGGCACAGGGGAGGGGCCCGAAGGTCAGAAAAGGTCCAGTGAAGTCGAAAAAGTATTGGATTTCAGCAAGAGGGGCTTTCACAGCAACTGCAGGTCTGTTTTCTGTCCCAATTCTGTCTGTCTGGCCCTCCCTTTCCTGACTGAACCTTTGTCTTCCCTTCTGTTTTCAATTTTCCTGAACCTTCTAAAGGAAGGCCACCTGTTTACCTCCCCAGGCCACTGATGCCACCCCAACCTTTTGTGTCCAGTCGGTCTACCCATTTGCCCCAGGTCCACAAAGTGTCTCCTAACATGTTTCTGTACGCTGCCATCCCTGTCCTTGGTTCCCTCCCTCATGTTCCTGCTTCCTGTTTCCCCTCCCCCACCTCACCTGTTGCTTCCATCACAGAGACTTTGGCTAGTGCCAAGGAAGAGAACGTGGAGATTCACCAGACCTTGGACCAGACCCTTCTGGAACTCAACAACATGTAAGGGCTGGCCCTGCTGCCTACCAGACTATATAGTTCCCTCCTCAGGCCAATAAAATGATGTTCCTGGCATGCCAAGGCCTTTTTTTGGTTGGCAGTAGTGCTGGGAGGGGCCCTGAATGGGCAGGGCCTGGCTCCTATCCCTGCAGTGGGATACCCTTTGTAATGGGAGTTCTGAGGTGTGGATCCAGGAGGGACTCGGCAAACAACCCTGTGTAGCGGTTCCCTAGCGGGTAGGAAACTGTCCTGGCCTCTAGACCTCACAGGGCAGAGCCGCCATCCATGGCCCAGCCCTGCTTCAACAGTCTCTGGGCCAGACATTCTAGAGGCAAAAATTCAAAAAGGGGCAGATATTCCAACAGGGCAAATGCCCAAAAGGCTCACTCCGTGTGACTAAGCCAACCATCTGACTCAAACTGCTCGGTGTTCTTGCCCCAACAAGGTCCATATTCTAATCCTGAAAAATGCCACGTTAGCCAGAAAGAAACACTGTGTGAGCTAAGAACTGGAAATGGAGGAGGTTGTTTTGGGTTTAGGGGTCAGGCCCAGTATCATCCCAAGGTCCTCAGAGGGTTAAGCCATGCATGACGGTGCAGGTCCTGTAGTCTTGATCCAGTCTAAGCAACCGCGGAACTGTCTAGAAGGGAAAAGGGGCTGGGAATAGGTGAAAGGCGGTAATGAAGACGGAACAATGGAAGCAAGGAGTTGGAGCAGTGAAGGAAGGGGCCGTGAGGAAGGAAAGCAGGCAGATTCTAAAATCTGAAAGTGGGCGTGTTCTACTTGAGAAAGCCAGGAAGAACATAGCCCACTCACACCTGGGCTGACGCATAAAGTTCTTGGACAACCCTGCCTCGGGGACTGTAAGTGTGTCACCTTGTGGGAGTTGTTTCTTCCCCCAGCAGCCATGGGAAATTAATAGAACATCCTTTTGATTCAAGGACAAAGGCAACTTATACCTGTTTTATTAGAAATATTTATTTTAAAAATAATCGGGATGAGCCAGGCATGATGGTGCATGCCTGTAATCCCAGCATTCAAGGGGCTGAGACAGGAGGATGGAGCTTTCAAGGGAAGGGGCTAAAAGCTTAGTCAGTGGTAGAACACTTGCCTAGTCAGAGCAGGAGACTGGGTTCAAACTCCATTACCCACATACTCAGTTCAAGGCCAGCCTGGCCTCCACAGTAAGATCAGGGGGTGTATTGCTTAGCAGTAGGGCACTTGACTGCATAGTAAGAGCAAGAGTTGCCAGGCAGTGCTGGTGCGCGCCTTTAATTCCAGCACTCGGGAGGCAGAGGCATTCAGATCTCTGAGGCCAGCCTGGTCTACAGAGCTAGTTCTAAGACAGTCAGGGCTACAGAGAAACCCTCTCTCTAAAAAACAAAGAAACAAAGCAAGAATTTAGTCCAGGCTTGGCTTTTCACTGTAAGATCTCATTACAGTACTTTACGGAAAAGAAGAAAAGTTAAAAAGATGAGAAAGGTTCTTTAGTGGTTAAAAGGAGTTGTGTAATGGACAGGACAAGGTTTCCAGAATCCTCTAGCTGGCTTCTCCTTATTAGGCTCCAGTCTCTGCCATTTCTGCTGGGCTGTAGCTAGCTCCATCTTTGGTCTCACTTCTGTGCCTATAGAACAGGGAACTAGAATCAGAAAACCAGCCCTGAATGAGTTCATTGGCAGTCCTGGAATTCTGGGTTCTACAGAAGAGGCTGTGTCAAGGGAGGACCATAGATACCTGTTCTGCCTCAGCTGGATGAGGAAGGCCACGCTGGTGACAGCAAAGAGAATACCAAACACCAAGGCTAGGATGTCACCTAGGGGAAAGGAGGAGCTGCCTCAGAAAGTGGGTTTCCCTCCAAGTTGGCTTCCTATACTCCTAACCCTTTGCCTGAGTGAGTGCTCAGGGAGCCCCCAGGGCTTCAGTCTCCAGAGCAGGCCAGCCTGAGGTTGGAGGTGGATAGCAGAAGGGTAAGAAAAGCACCGGTTTCTCTCCAGCAGCCAGGTGAAAGGGCTGTTGGGGGAGGGAGGGGCATCGCCGGAGAGTTCTGGGGCCTCGTCCTGATAAACTAAACCAGTGGTACAGATCTATCTACCTGATCTAGCATTGGTTTAGGGCCATTTATTCTGCAGAAAAATAAAGTACTAGCTCCTGGACTGAATGACACTAAAGGGTGTTCCCCTGCATCAGGAACAAGGGGGAACCCCAACTCACCAGCAGCAAGGCAGGAATTCGTGTGGACTGAAGAGAAAAAGGAGACATTAGAGCCGGGCCCATGAGTACCTGTGACAGGGCTGTAGCACAAATGAAGACATGGGAAGAGGAGGGACCCATGGCTAGGGGACCTGGCGACATGGGCCATCAGACAACCGTGCACCTGGCTCAGGGCTGCTGTCCACTTCAGCAGGGAAAGAAGCCTCAATCATTCGCCCATTCAAAAGTTGTGTGGCTCGGAAATTCCGTTGTAGCCGAGAATCATGAGGTCCCCACAGGGAAACAGAGAGAGTATGGAGCTGGGGGAGGGAGGGTCGATAGATAGTACGAGACAAAAAGGAGCAAGGGGTCCCCAGCCCTCTGTCTCCCTTCACGACGCGGCCCCTTGACTCGCCCTTATCTCCTCCTACGTTCCCATTTTCCAACGCCCCGTGTCAATGCCGCACCCCCATTCTTACCTGCTTCGCGCTCAGCTTCACTGTCTGGTTGAACACAGTCCAGATGACCCCCTGGCTGCAGGGAGGTGTGGTTAGAGACCCTTCATATCGGTAGTAGCGGCTGAGGTCCGAGGGCAGCAATGCGGAGACATCCAGACCTGGGATCTTGATCTGTGTGCCTGTGGAGAGGGTCTGTGTTGAGGTCTCACCTAGATCCTGTGGCCCTGGAAGCTCCAGGAACAAGCCCAGGTTCGCTGCTTCTCACTATGTGTGGTTGATCCAAAAGGAGATGAAGGGCTTTGGGTAATTAGAGGAGGCCTTGTGCTGCTGAGCCATTTCTCCAGTCCCAAGAAAAGAGCTCAACAGCCCTCCTTCGAGGCCTTCAGTCTTCTGAGTGCATGTCCATATCATTCAGGACTGCTGACTCAACTCAGATTGGAATAAAAGAAGAAAGTGGAGCTGGGACGTAGGTCACTGGTGGAGATCCTGTATTCTATCTAGTGAGCACACAACACGTAGAATAACTTATAAATACATTTAATATTTGTAACTATAAAAGATGGACACAAATGCAGGCGGTGCTGGCACACACCTTTATTCCCAGCACTTGTGAGGCAGAGACAAGCTGATCTCTATGAGTTCAAGTCCAGCCTAGTCTACAGAGTGAGTTCCAGGACAGTCAGAGCTCCACAGTGAAACCCTGTCTTGAAAAACAAAACAAAACAAACAAACAAAAAAAAAAAACAAAAAGACACAAAGCTCTGTGTGTTTTAGTTTATCAAAAACCTAAAAGTCTAGTAAATTGAGATTTAAAATAACTCAGTCACTGAGAAGGGAGCTAACTTTTCAGCTAAAGTGGGTTTTCAGTGCTGGACCTAGGGCATCACACATGCCCTCTCTCTGCCGTCAAGCTATACCCTTAGCCTTTCGGAGACATGGTCTCGTGTAACCTAGGCTGGCTTCCGACTTGGTGTGTAGCCAGCCTCCCAGGCACTGGATTGTCAGCATGCTCTGCCGTGTCCTGCTCTCAAACATTTACAAACATAAAATGTTTGATGTTCATAAATGGTAGACAGTTCTCAAAGTCAGTTTAGCTTTCCACACTCAATCCTATGTTTTAAACATTAAACATTTTTCCTCTCTACTTTACTTATTGTTGTGTTTGTTTGTCTCTGAGACGGTCTCACTATACACCCCTGGCTGGCCTGGAACTCATTATGTAGACCAGGTTGGCCTTGAACTAAAGGCACATGCCACCATGCCCAGCCTCAACTTGGCTTTTTCATCTAATGGTATCTTCTGTTTGGTTTTGGTTTCTATTTGCGGACAGTAGTTTCCCTGTTCCCATTCGTCTCTCAGCAGTTTCGCCATCGGTACCAATCTCAGAGCCAGTTCACCCTCAACTCCTTCCTTAGCTCCGTCCTCAGATGGGCAGCTCCCGAGGGAGCCACAAACTGACCTTCCTCTGCAATTTCTCCCAAGTGCGACAGCAGCTGTTCATAGGCACCGTTCTCCTCTGGGCTCTCCTGCAGGGGATTGACCACAATTAGAGGCCTGAACATGGGGTAGGGTTCCTGTAGTCTTTCCCCATTCCTCACCTCTGAGGATGCTGGGAAAATATAAAAATCTTTTTACTCGAATGCTGTTACTCTTGCTTTGCAAATGAATTAGCTTGGTGTCCTGGAATTCAATGGCAAACTGAAGGAGGATACTTGGCCCCTCAGGGATCCGGGCCCTGCTCACTTTCGTAGTGTCCCTTGTTATTGCCACACACACTCCGTGGTCTCCGAAGAAAGCCATAATAGGTTTTGTACTTGTGTTGCCTCTGTATTCGCTTTGATGATTCATGAGTCTGACTCTTGGAGTGGAATCCTACACGCTATATCTGAGGCACTTGTCTGGCTTGATGCTGTGAACTTCACACTAGTGAGGCTTACAGGCAGGGCATCTCCTCACTTCCTGGCTTCCTCCTACCATGGCAAGTGCGTTCTTGATCGTTAAGGGTACACAGAGGTCAGTGAATACTGCATTTCATGATGGGGACCTGATGGCTCACAGAAGTAGTCGAGAAATGCCTCCTCCCCAGGCCATTTGTGGTATGTGGCGTTCCCTGAAATGGTCCATACTGTCTTTGCTCATGATGGCCTCTCTCTGTGCAACAGCCCTCCTTGTTTCCCACCAGTGAAGGATTTAAGTTTCACCTCCTCCGCGACCACTGTTTTTAGTGTTCTCCCTTTATGACTGTCAAGTCAGCCTTTGCCCTGTGGGTTCCTTAAAGGAAACCTCCTTGTACCCTGCTTCCTGGTTCCCTGCCGCTGCAGAATGAACAAAGGCTGAATGGAGCAGAGAGCTAATTGAGATGCACTGAGCCCATGGGATAGGAGTGTCAAGTGTGGTACCTGCAGAAAGGCAGCCAAAACTGCCAGGCCCCCAGGGTGACCCAAGGCTTCATGAAGCTCGGAGAAAGCCGTACTGAGGTGAACCACGTGGATCTAGAGAAGGTTTAAGGGTCAGAATGAGCCCACCTCTCCGATCACATCCTCTTTGTTCCTCTCGGGACAGCCCGATGCCCACCTCAGCAGGGAAACGGTGGCCGTTCACAGTGTGCTCTGAGCCCGGGTGATCTGAAGTTCCCCAGTGTAAGTGCAACTGCAGAGCCCGGTATTCCTGCCCAGGTCCCAGAGCCATCTTCAGCCCAGGTGGCAGAGTCAGCTGTACTGCGTGGGGAGTGCAAGGGAGCGACGTCTACCCACCCGTGAGCGCCAGCAGGACCCCCCCAAAGCACAGCTGAATTGCCACTCCCCTCCGTAGGTCCCGCCCTAGACACCTCACCCGTGTGGCCATTATTCTGCAAGCTCAGTTCCGGGAGAGGTTGGAGCTCGTAGCCCAGTAGTTCCAGGGGTTGCAGGGCGCGGCAGAACGAGGTGAGCTCTGGGCGGATATCTATAGGAGACTGAAATCGGCCGGCACAGGCTGGGGACACCTGGGGCCAGAGTAGGGTGCCTGGGATGAGAGAAAAAGGTGCACGAAGTCTGATGTATAGGACAAGAACCGTTAGGCTAAGCAGGGGGTGGAGTCAGGAAGCTTAGAGGCGGGAGTGGGGTGGGGGTGGGGTCAGAGACGTGGGTCCAGGGGAAGAGGGGTAGATCAATAGGGATGGACTCCCAGATTAGGTGTGTGTCGAAGGTGGGTGTCTTACCTCTATAGCTCCAATGACCGTGGCCACCCCCTGCATAAATCAGAAGAACTAATAAGCTCACTCTTACAGCCCAGTCATTTCTCAGTGCCCATAATGAAAGAGATTCCCTCCGGCTCTGGTGGGGCCTCACAGACCCGGCTGTCTTACAAGAGTGTGCAGGTAACGAATAAAGCAGGCTAGGTGCAAAGCACAGTGGCCTGCCACCAACTGTGACTCAGCCTCTGAGGAGTGACCAGCAGACCAGCCAATGCTAGGGTCTGCAGAGCAGCTCCAGTTAGCAGATTCAAGCCAGCAGGTCATCCTTTTCCCTTTACTTGGCTCACCTTCCTCTTTTTCCTGTCTGTCTCCAGCTTTCCCAAAGTCCCTAACTTAGAGCCAAGTGTGGTGGTGCACACCTGAAATCCTAGAACTCAGCGGTAGAGACAGGTAGACGGCAGAAAATAGTTCAAGACCAACCCGATCTATACGATGATAAGACCCCGCCTCATTCCTTACCTCTCCCCACCCCCAAAAAAGCAAATCAAAGTTCCTCTGCCTGTTGTTTGGTTCTTCCTGCACTGAAAATTGTGAGTGACAGTTGTATACTCTCTGTAGGTCCTCTGGGCCCCCCCCCCCCTTCTCTCCTCTCCTGTCCTCTCCTCCCCTCCCCTCCCCTCCCCTCCCCTCCCCTCTCCTCTCCTCTCCTCTCCTCTCCTCTCCTCTCCTCTCCTCTCCTCTCCTCTCCTCTCCTCGTCTTACTCTTTTTTCTCTCTCTCTTCACTTTCCCCCTCTCTGTCCATTTCTCAGTTCTAGATCCTCTTCACTTTCCTCCCTTCTTCGTTGCCATCTCTCCCAATTATTCTCCCTTTAGGGAGAAGGGCTGCCTATTAGAGCTTAGTGTCCTTCCTGCATGCATTGCTAGGATTGGGGTGTAGGGAGGGGAGGCCTAAAACTGCCTGAGCCTCAGTTTGGAAGCTGATGACCACTTACCTTTTCCGTCCTCGTGGGAGCCATGACTGTCCTCTGGAGACTCAACAGTAGGTAGATCCTCTAACTTCGGGGAATCCTCCTTTTCAGCTTCAGCGTTAACTTCAGGTGGAGCCTCTCCAGGTGCATCCTCTTCACTGGGCAGCTCCTCCACGCCCAGATCATCCTCCCCAGATGAACTTTCTCCCAAGGAGGGCTCCCCCTGCAATCCGGACAGGCCCTGGGGATGAGCAGACACTAGGGGCAGCAGAAACAGCAGCAGCAGCAGCAGCAGCACAGTAGGGGCTGGGATCAACAAAGAGGGCCAGGGTCTGGGGCCCAGGGAAGCCATGCGACTGACTGGGGTGTCCCAGGACACGGTGTGGAGTGTACGGGCTGTACGTGCATCGGAAATAGGAGCTGGGTTGGGGGAGGAGCAAGCCTTGAGGGGAGCAGGCTGACTCACGGAATGCCCTTTTGCAGAGATGGAGCCAAAGTCCCACAGGTCTGCCTGGCCCTGTGCCCCCCTCCCCGATATCAAAGCCTGGACACAGGTTGGGTAAGAGGTAGGGTTGGGGCGAGAGGCAGGTGTGTTCACAGGCAGAAGGTTATCGGGATCACCAGCCCAGCTTGGAGCCCAAGGCACCACCTGGCACTGTATAGGTTCTCCGTGGCACCACCCAGCTCCTGCCTGCCAGCCTCTGCTAGGCCTGGCTTGCTTCCCAGCCTCGGGAGGGAAGGGGAAAAAAGGGGAGCTGGGGCCCTGGTGTAGTCGGGCTGAGGAGACAAGAAACCTGTGTCTAAATCCTGCCACAGTCAGGTCTTGGGGAGAGGGGGCAGGTAAAGACACAGCCTAGAGCTGAGCAGGTAGCGGGGCCCATGGGTAAGTAAGAGGCAAATTTGAGCATGAATGTTTGAGTATGTATGAGAGACACTGATGGCTCCCCCATCGCCTGCCAAAGTATGGCCATTTTCTTTTTCCAACTTCCAGGTCTGCAAAACCTCACCCAAGAAACCATTCTGTTTTGTCTCTTACTTTCCCCCTAATGTTCCAGTTAGATTATACTTCCCCCCCGCCCCCACTCACCCCCACTCTGCCACTACCATTCTCGATTCTCAGTGCTGGAGACTAAACCCAGGGACATGGGTGCCAAGCAAGTACTCTTCCACTGAACTAACTCCCAATCCTAAAATACTCATTTTTTTCCCTCCAAACTTTTTACTGCCTTTTAAAATCTAAGTCTCAGTGCCTAGACTGCCACTCACATTTGCATTCTGTATTTATTTAATACCTATGGCATGCTAGGCAGTGGACCAGGGACAGGGAAATCAAAATGAAGAGTCCCTGCCCCTGCCTGAGGTGCTCTCACTCCAGTGAGTGAGGACGAATATTATAATTCTGCCTAAGAAAGTATGGAAGTGGGCAAAATACGAGCCCACCTTTTTTTTTTTTTTTTTTTTTTTTTTTTTGGTTTTTCGAGACAGGGTTTCTCTGTGGCTTTGGAGCCTGTCCTGGAACTAGCTCTGTAGACCAGGCTGGTCTCGAACTCGCAGAGATCCGCCTGCCTCTGCCTCCCGAGTGCTGGGATTAAAGGCGTGCGCCACCATCGCCCAGCATGAGCCCACCTTTGAAGAAGAGGTAGGAGCTCCACGGGAAGGTGGATGGGAGCCACAGTAAGGAGAATCGTATTCTAGGTAAAGAAGAGGCATGGGATAGTTTGAGCAGAGGCTGGCCAGATGGCTCAGTGGGTACCAAGTCTGATGATCTGAGTTGGACCCCCAGAATTGACACTGTGGAAGAAGAGACCCATCTCCTCCAAGTTGTCTCCCATGTGGGCCATGGCACACGCACGTATGCAAATACACATGTAATAAGTAAAGAGATGTAAAAAGGAATTATTTGCAGAGCGTGGCCGAGTCCAGTTTTCTTATTAGGCCATGCTGAAGACTGCTATGAACACGGATCAGGCAGAGAGACTGGGTGTAAAGAATTGGGACCGCGTGAGAATGGATGCGGGGCTCCAGTCTGTCCATTTAATAAGCATTTACCGAGCCTCGTCCAGTCCTTGTTCCCAGGTACGCAGCATAGGATAGAGGACAGCTGTTAGGTCTGCAGCTCATTCTCAGGGGATCCACATGGCCTCAACAAAGAATAAGGTCATTTCATGTCCATATTGAGGATTGTTCAGCAGGGTGATTGTATAGGTTAATTGAATGTATCGAATTAGTTTTAATTCTGCAGCATACAGCCATATCCCATGGTTCCAGGTAATTCTGTTATCCCAGCTTCTCTTTGAGAACCTTCTAGACGATTCCTGATCTAAAGGGTAATGCCTAGTTTAGAAGGGTCCAAGAGGCCTCATCTGAGGAACCCAATCAGGTTTGACTTTGGTTATTAATGTTTGTAAACCACCATGGTGCTAAATGTTTTCATTATCTTTCTTTTCTAAATACCTTCTGTTCTAACTCAGATGCCAGGCAAGTTCTCCAGGAAGCTTTTCTTTTCGTTTTGGTTTTTTGGAACAGGGTTTCTCTGTGTAACAGCCCTGTCTGTCCTGGAACTCGCTCTGTAGACAAAGCTGTCCTGGAATTCACTGTGAGGGGCTTGTGTGTATTTGGATGTGGAGGCAGAGGGCAACTTTATGGGGTCAGTTCTCTTCTACCTTTATGTGGATGTCAGGGGCCAAACTCAGATCGTCAGCGGCTATAGGAGCAGAGAGGACCATACTCTAAACTGGAACTTGGGGGCTGCATGGATACTTTCTTCCAACATGGGTCTCAGCTTTTGTTCATTTTCCTTTTCTCTATATAGTCTGAGCATCTCAGTCTGTCAGGATCTTTGGCTACTTCCGGCGGCTCCCTGACCCCACATTTCCAGGTGCATCTCTGCCCCATTTGTAGGCTTCCTCCAGCATGTCAGGCTTGGAAGGCAAGTGGCTTTATCTGCCGAACCATCTTGCTAACCTAAGAAAACCTTTTTTGTTTGTTTGTTTGTTTTGAGATACAGTTTCTCTGTGTGTAGCCCTGGTTATCCTGGAACTCGCTCTGTAGACCAGGCTGGCCTCAAACTCACAGCAATCCATCTGTCTCTGCCTCCTAAGTGCTGGGATTAAAGGCGTGTGCCACCACCACCCAGCTACCTTTCTTTACCAACCCCCCACCTCCAATCTGGAGAGTTCAATGGTGCCTCTGAACTACCACCGCACTGCACTTGACCCCAGTAATAATCTTGCTCACAATTTAATCATATTACGATGATATATGACATTTTATCTGTTCTGCTATACGTTGTTCCTTGAGACCATGAGGGCAGGGTTCAAAATTTGAGTCAATTTTTATTCAACAGCTATCATCAAGTGTTTTCTCATTGTAGAACACCTTACCAGGTCCTTGTATCTTAGGGGCTCATTGTCAATGATTTGTGTGTGCCAGACCATAACATCCCTCCCCCCAAAAAAAACCTTGTGTGAGTGGATGTGGATGCAGTTCAGTGACAGAGTGCTTGCCTCATGCACAAGGCCCTGCTGGCCTTTCTGAAGCCAAATCCAGCACCATCCATGACATTTGACCCATCATGTACTGTGGAGAGTTGGCTGTTTTCAGAACCTTGTTTGGACTCTGGCATGTGGAAGGATCATGGTAATATCTAAACTGGAGGGGCTTGCTGAAGGCAGACTGTGGTAATAACTAGAATAGTCTGGGAGAGAGAGGCCATGGGAACAGAGAGGACCATACTGTACACTGGAGCTTGGGGGATGCGTGGATCCCTTTCTCTAACACCGAGCTCAGCTTTTACTCATTTTCCTTCCGACAGCACCGTGATGCCTCCTCTCCTTCTCTCCTTTGTAGGGCTTTGCGCCTGTGTTTCCGAGCACGGAGCTGCAGCATTTGCTAACTTTCCGGATGTCCTCTACAGTTCCGTGCCCTTCTATCTCTCCCTGCGGCCGTTTCCTTGCCGTGGGTGGAGATGTGGACTCTGATCCTGGATCACACCTTTATAACTCAGGAATCTGCCAAACCCTGAAGCTTGAGCTCTCAGAGTCCTTTTATGCCGAATCTAACCACGTGGGACACTCCCTGCCTGGCACAGGACACCTCCGTGTTTTTAAAGCCAAGTCTTTGGTCACTGGGATCTGTGTTTCTAAAACCCGGACAAACACATTCCTAAGTCAGGTTTCTGATTAGCCCTGGGTTACGGAAGAGAGAACCACTTGCTGGTAGAGCGGGAGAGAAGCCCCCTTCTCCCTAGTCATGGATTGGAAGACAAGACCGAAGCTGTTGTGAGGTCTTGAGGCTGGCCCATCACACTATTATTGCTAGGGCTATCATAAAAATCACCATAAACCCATAAACCAGGTGTCTTATGGCAATTCAAATTTTAAAACTCTCAACGTTCTGTAGGCCTTAAGTTTGAAGTTGTATTGGCAGGATCAGGCTACCTGGGAGGCCCTGGCGGAGCCTCTTTTGTTGCCACTCCTGGATTCTAGTGGTGCATACCTTGGGTCCCATTACTTGAGAGGTAGAGGCAGGCAGATCTTTGTGGGTTTGAAGCCAGCCAGAGTTACATGGTGAGACCCTGTCTCAAGTAATAATAACAATAATAACTAATAATGATAACAATAATACACAAACAAAAAACATACGACAACAACAAAAATTCCTAGTTATATCTGCAAAACCCCTTTCTCCAGGTAAGATTATACTCGCTGGCTGTGGATATGTCTTTATGTGGCTACCATGTAGCAGAACCAAAGTGGATACATTTCAAGAAGTCCTTAGTGTGTCTCCTCATACTCAACCTTGCTCTCTTCTACCAATTAGACAGTGCTCCCAACCTGAGTTCACAGTGAGCTCTGTTCCATCCCCTCTTCTACCCACAGACTGGTAACATACTCAGACATACCCACTTCTTCCTCCACCCCCCCTCCAATTCTTCCATTCTTCATGTGTATGTGTGTGCATGAATACCACATGCATGCAGAAGCCCTGGGAGGCCAGAAGAGGGTATCAGACCCTGGGAACTGAACAAGAGCAGCCAGTGCTTTTAGCCTCTGAGCCGTGTCTGTAGCTCCTCTATTCTTACTGCTTAGGTTCACAGGATTCCCAGGGGGTTATCTGTGCTCACCCACATTTGAGCAGGGGCTGCCCTTCATTTGCTTCTCTTTTGTTTTGATTTTTTTGAGACAGGGTCTCACTGTGTGGCCCAGGCTACTTACTTGCAGCAATCCTTCTGCCTCGGCTTTCTACATGCTGGGATTACAGACATAAGCCACCAGGCAGTCTCTCTGCGTTCACCTGAGACAGTGTTACTGGCCCTTAACCTGATGTTACCAGTTCTCCTGGAACCCAAACCAAAGAAACAGTCTGCTCCAAACTCTCCATTTCTCCAAGGGTTTCAGGCTCTTCTTCTCTGGTCTAAGCCCAGCACTTAACATTTTCAGGATTCTTAGAATATCTGAGCTGGGGGAGCTTAGAACCCTGGCAATCCCCTGCTTCTTGGCTTGGGGCCCAGATTCCTAAGAGCCCAAATGGAAGAAATGGGGTCTAATGTTTCTTACATTTAGTATCCCAATATAAAATGTATTTTATAATTACAAAATAGTGCATAGCCAATGCAGGAAAGTTGGGGAACATGAAGAAGAGACTCAGGGAATTAAAATATCTCCCGACTTGCACCGTTCTCACTTAGACCTTTAGCCTCAGGAGTCCACTGCCTGGCACAGGTAGACACTCATTTGTCCAATTATATTCCGTCTCATCCCCCAGAGATAAAAACACAATTAGGTTTTGATTGCTTAGCCTTCCGGCCTTTCATGTACCTTTTTGTGCAGAGGGAATCACATTACACACGCAGCTCTCTGTAGCTTGCCTTTCTCCTCTCTCTTGGCGTTACTATGAGTAACTATGACTTACTATGAGTGTGTTGATGTTTTTAAACTGTACCCATAAACCAGGTGTCTTAAGACAATGCTTTTTTAAAATCTCAGTGTTCTGTAGGCCTTAAGTCTGAAATATATATATATGTATGTATAGATATATATATACATAGACATATGTAGATATCTCTCTCACTACATCTCTATATCAATATCTCCCTATATCTATCTATCTGTCTATCTATCTATCGAGAGAATTTGTTTTGTTTTTTGAGGCAGGGTTTCTCTGTGTAGCCCTGGCTGTCCAGGCTGGCCTTGAACTCACAAAAATTCTCTTGCCTCTGTCTCCCTAGTGCTGGGATTAAAAGTGTGCACCACTACATTTGGTTGAACTTTTTAATATTTATTTTACCTTATGCATAAATATAAATAAAATGTAATATAAATAAAAATTTTATAAACATATAAAATAAAAATTTTATAAATTATTATATAAAAGTATAATATAATATAAATAAAATGTATTGATTTTATTGGGTTGGAGAGGTTAAGAGCACTGGCTGCTCTTCCAGATGTTCTGAGTTCTATTCCCAGCCACCACATAGTGGGCTCACAATCACTATAATGAGATCTGGTGCCCTCTTCTGGTATACAGGAATTTGTGAAAGCAGAACACTGTAAACATAATAAATACTTTTAAAAAATTATTTTATTTTTTAAATTTCATTTATTTTAATATACCATCCCAGTTCCCCCTCCCTCCTCTCCTCCTGCTCCTCCCCCTTATTTTATTATTTTATAGGTATGGGTATTTTGCCTATGTCTGCTGTGGAATAATCCTCTTGTACACTGTAAAGATTTGTAAACTTGAATTGGTTTAACAAAATGCTGATTGGCCAGCAGCCAGGCAGGAAGTATAGGTGGGGTGGTCAAATTAAGAATGATGGGAGGAAAGGGTGGAGTGAGGAGTTGCCAGTCAGACGCAGAGGGAGCAGATGAATGTACCATGTTAATAAAGGTACCGCCACATGGCAGAGCATAAATAAGGAATATGAGTTAACTTAATGTAAGAGCTAGTTAGTAATAAGCCTAAGCTATTGGCCAAGCATTTATAATTTATATTAAGCCTTCGTTTGAGTCAATTATTTGGGAAATGGCTGCCAGGTATTTGTGAACTGGTGGGTTGGAGAGAAATGTTCAATTACATATGTCTGTGTACCATATGCATGCCTGATGCCTGAGACAGCCACAAGAGGGTGCCTGATCCCCTGGAACTAGAGGTGCAGATAGTTATGGGCCATCATGTGGGTAGTAGGAATTCAACCCGAGTCCTTTGGAAAAGTAGCCAGCACTCTTAACTAATAGACAATCTCTCCAGCCCTTTCCCTTTGTTTAAAAATATTGTTTATCTGTATGAGAGATGATTGGGGAGTTAAGAGTGCTCCCTGCTTTCTCAGAAGACCAGAATTTGATTCCCAGCACCCACACCGGGTGACCACACTGCCCATGACTCCTCCTAGGAGATTCCCAGCACCCAAACTGGGTGACCACACTGCCCATGACTCCTCCTAGGAGATTCCCAGCACCCAAACTGGGTGACCACACTGCCCATGACTCCTCCTGGGAGAATTCCAGCACCCACACTGAGTGGTCACAATTGCTCATGACTCCAGCTCCTGGGACATCTCTTTCTGGACTCTGGGGCACTGGCATTCACACACACACACGCACACCACTCTCACGTACACATACCCTCCCATGTGAACATATAGTTTTTAAACATCAAAATCTTTAAAAAGAGATTCCTGACATATTGACAAAATGTTCCTGAAAATTTACCTTACGGGGGTATACCCAATTCCTCAAAGTCCTAAGGAAAATTTAGGACATTCTCCTTTTGATAAGGTACCCAGCTAACCCATCAAAGCTTTTGTCCTTGATCAGAATGAGGGAGAGAGGAAGTATGGAGGGGGGGGATTGAGAGGAGTGCAGGGAGGGGAAACTGTGGTTGGAATGTATTTTATGAGAGAAAAATTAAAAAAAAAAAAAAAACTCCAGTAAACCCAAACTACCACCTTACCGACTCCTCACCTGAAGCTAGTTTGTGATCAAGTTTAGATCAGTATGAAACAAAACAAAACAACAGCAACAACAACAAAACCAGGACTGGGGATGTCGCTGTAGAGTGCTTGCCTAGTATGCACGAGTGGGTTCCATCTCAGCCCTTCATAAGCCGGTCTGACGCTGCAAAACTAACTTCATTTGGAAGCCGAAGGCAGGCAGCTTAAACCAAGGTCAACCTCAAATTCAGTTCAAAGCCAGCCTACATTATAGGAACCTATCTCAATAAAAAATTAAATGAAGAAACACGGTAACTTAAAACTTGCGCACTTTGGTCCAAAGCTCAAAGGTTCCTAGCTGGTGAAAGCACTGGGAATGACTGGCCAACTGCTTCTTTGTCTGGCATGGGCTCAGGATGTAGTATGGACGGTACTTATCCCCACATTCCTAATTCTACAGTTAGACAGAGTCCTTGTCAACGTCTGCATTTTGTAGTCTCCAGTCTCCGTGTTCAGACAGCTGTGCCTCCTTCGTGCCACACCTGGCATTTGCGCGACGTTGCAGCGCACCTAGAGCGCCGCCCTGGCGGATGGGGCAGACACAGCAGAGGGGACCCGCCCCGCGAGCCGCTGCCCGCGCATGCTCTGTGCTCCCTGGCCGCACCTCCGCGGCCCCGCCCCCCGAGCGGTTGGAATTTGAATCTCCGGCGCGACACTGCGGAAAGCCTGGAACCCTGGCCCAGGCATGGAGAGCCCAGGCTCCAACGCGCACTGCCCGGTGCGACAGCAGCGTGCTCGTTGGGAACGGAAACGTGTCTGCACCGCTCGGGAGCTGCTGGAGACCGAGCGGCGCTACCAAGAACAACTGGGCCTTGTGGCCACGGTGGGGCTCGGCGGGGGTGTGGGAGGGTCTCAGACCTTGCTTCGGACTGACGTCTGCAGTTGCTGGCTGCACCTTGACGTTGACTTTCTCTTGCGACAGACTGAGAAAACTGTATTCGTTCCCTTCACAGTACTTCTTGGGGATCCTGAAAGCCAAGGGGACACTACGACCACCAGAGCGCCAGGCCCTGTTTGGGAACTGGGAGCAAATCTATGCCGCCAGCCTGTGAGTGGAAGCGGTGCAGCCTAGCTGGAAAGGCCAAGTTCATCTGCCAACTTTTTCACCTGTGGCCTTGGCCCAATGCCTCAACCTGCCTGCGCTCCAGTTGTAAAATGGGATAATAGCATTGCCTCCGAGACAGGGTTATGGGAGGTATATGTGGGAGGGCTTGAGTAGTTGCTGGCCTGCCTTTTTACTGTCTTTTGCCCGCACAGAGAGCTGCTCCCCTACTTGGAAGAAGGGCACTGGGGGTCGGGGCTAGAGGGCTTCTGCTCCCACCTGGAGCTCTACACCCAGTTTGCTGCCAATACCGAGAGTTCTCAGGCCGTCCTTCAGGTAACTCTCTTCCTCCTTTCCTTCTTAATCTAGAGACCTAAACTAATAGTGTTCTGCATTTCGAGCCCAGCTCTTTGCTAACGTCCCTAGGAGGACCAGGTTTCCCTCAGGAGTGCACCCCTTGCTGAAGGCTGAGCGTGTGTACACAGAGTGTAATATAAGGGAGTGCTTTCTCTTCCTGATGCGAACTCTCCCTCTGGATCCAGACGCAGCTGAAGAAGAATAAACGTTTTCGGAGGTTCGTGCGGCTTCAGGAAGGCCGCCCTGAATTTAGGGGTCTTCAACTCCAGGACCTGCTCCCTCTGCCTGTGCAGCGGCTCCAGCAGTGAGTGGACCCCTCTAGTCTAGAATTAGTTCCTCTGGCTGCATAGCTCTGCCTACAGCTTTGTGGGGGATGCCATAGGTTCTATCCCAGCTCTGCCTCTCTGAGCCCAATATCTTCTAAGGTGCTTTTACTGGAGTAAATGTGAACACTCAGGGGTACCCAGGGGCTGCAGCCTGAGACCTGGGGCTGTGGGACGGAACCTGCACTAAGAAATAGACAGGCTGTCCGGAAAAGCTCATTGGTCTTGAAGTTCTATTCCAGGGTTCCTAGGTTGTCTGTGGTAGCCTCCTTGGTTTAAGTTGCATCTTCTGACCCAACCTCCTGAACTACAGTCGGCCACTGATTCTTTACTGTTGGATGAAAGTGGCCTGCATAGTGTGAGCCCAGATTCTGAGTCCCAGGTTGGAGAGGGGCAGCAGAGCAGCCAGGCCTTTTCTGACCTTATAATTAAGGGATGAACATCTGGGAGGTGCTCTTCAGATCTCTTGAAACCAGGGCATTTTGCCTGGCTCTACTTCACTTTTCTTCCAATTGTCCACTTCCAGGTACGAGAATCTCGTCGTGGCCTTGGCGGAAAACACAGTTCCCAACAGCCCTGACTACCAACAGCTCACACGTAGGTTTTTGTTCTTCTCCAACACAGGCAGGGGCTGCCTGTCCTGAAAGTCTTTCTGGTTCTGACCTCCAACAATGCCTGGTATATCCCCATCTCCCATTACATGTATAGTGTCCCAAAGGGTCCTGCCTCTGCAAGAAGCTAGAACCTGATGCAGGCCCCTCCAGGCTAGCTAGCTACCACCAGTAGCCATGCAGAGCCTAAGTACTGTTGGAAATGAGGGAGAGGGTGTTGTTCCAGGGGCTGCCCGCCTGGTGAGCGAGACTGCCCAGAGAGTCCACGCCATTGGTCAGAGCCAGAAGAATGACCAGCACCTCCTCCGTGTCCAGGCTCTACTCAGCGGACGCAAGGCAAAAGGGCTTACCTCAGGTAAACTGTGGACTTTGTCCTTCCGTCCTCATTACCCCCTTCTTACTTGCTTCTCTTCCTCAACAAAGCCAGCATATTATTGGGCTAGCAAGATGGCTCAGTGGCTGAAAGCACCTGCTGGATGAACTGAGTTAATCCCGGAACCCACGTAAAGGTAGCAGGAAAGAACTGACTCCCCGGAGTTGTCGTCTGACCTCTACATATACATACGATAATTAAAAAAAAAAAAAAAAAAACTTCAACGCCAGCATATACCTCCTGCCCGTGTTTCCTGCCCTTTTGTTTTCCCATGGTTCTGAAGCTATACAAGATAACGGCTCTCATTTTCTAGGACGATGGTTCCTGAGACAGGGCTGGCTTTTAGTGGTGCCTCCCACCGGGGAGCCCCGGCCCCGCATGTTCTTCCTCTTCTCTGATGTGCTCCTCATGGCCAAGCCTCGACCCCCACTGCACCTGCTGAAGAGTGGCACCTTTGTCTGCAGGGCCCTGTACCCTATGTCCCAGTGTCAACTTAACAGGGTCTTTGGCCATTCGGGAGGAACTTGTGGTGGTCTGCTCAGTGTAAGTTGTAGATGGGAAATCTGAGCCTCAGATATACTACAGGCACTCACAGACCAGCGTATCACTTGGCCTGGGTCCCTTTCCATGAGAGTGAGGCATGGCTGGGGACAAGCTCTCCTTTAGTCATCCTCTTATCCCTGAGTGACCGCCGTGGAACCAGTGACCACTTTGGCCTGACTTGTTCTGAACTGAAGCGGTTTCTCCCTAGCTGTCCTTCCCCCATGAGAAGCTACTGCTCATGTCCACTGACCACGAGGAGCTGTCACGATGGTACCACAGCCTGACCGTGGCCATCAGGTAAGCTCTGCCCTTTCCTGAGCTGGAAAGGAGTGCTTCTCTCACCGCTGGGCTCCCCATCCCCACGAGTGACTGAACAGAGCATGCATTCCAGCCTGAACTGTTTCTTCTTCCCACAGAAGTCAGAAGAGCTAGAAGTGTCCAGCCCTACTGCAACACGATGCTGTCATCTACAAATGTGCTATCCTGGGATATATGTGGCAGCTGGACATGCCTAAGAAGAATCTTAAAATTCCAGAACTCAGGATACTCAGGGATAGGGCAGAGCCAAGAACAAAAGGAAATTGAATTCAACACTGGAACCACAGGGCCCTCCGTGGCCTGACACGGGCCATTTAACTAGTTTATCAAAGCAAGCTGGCAGTGGTGGCGCACACCTTTAATCCCAGTGCTTGGGAGGCAGAGACAGGTAGATCTCTGAGTTCTAGGCCAGCACTATCTACAGAACGAATTCTAGGACATCCAAGGCCACATAAGAGAAACCCTGTCCTGTTTTAAAAAACAAAACAAGAATCAGAAAGCAGGCTTAAACCTAGCTGAGCCCCAGCTGATCCAGCTCCTTTGACACCATGCCGCAGGGGGAGGAGGGAGCCTTGCTGTCTATTCAATCTGTAGCTTTTTATAGGAGGCCCTTTTTGTTATTGATGGTTTCTTATTTTATTTTTGAGACAGGGTCTTCCTATGTGACCCAGGCTGATGTGAACTTGAATTCCTCCTGCCTCAGCCTTTCAAGTGTTGGTTTACCAGGTGTATGCTGCCACACCTAGCTACTGTATAGTTTCTTTCTTTTCTTGAGACAAGATTTCCAGTAGCCCAAGCTGGCCTTGAACTCCAGATCTTCCTGAACTACCTCCTATGTTTGAAAAGTCCTATAATTTATTTCCCCGCTGTGTTTTAATAAAGTGCTGTTTTGTTGTGTGTTTGGAAAGAACTTTGTCTAAACCATGAGAAAAAGGAATTTGAGCCTTGACGGCCGGCATTCAGTAGCCTCCGGAGTACAGGGAAGGACTGTAGCTCCCTCTGTCTTCTCCGAATTCTGGAAAGCAGTCTCTTTTCCTAATAAGGGAGCCTTTTCTGGGAGGCCCAGCTGGCTTATGCACCTAGTATTCCTGTGACTGACCAGCTGGGAGCAGGAAAAACACAGAGGCACACCCAGGGCAAGGGGACTGGGTTTTACTGACCCTTCAGTGGCTGCCCCCCCTTCATTGCTGGGTCCTTTGAGACATTCTTGTGCCATCTTCGCCTCAGTCCCTGCTCCACCTCCCAGGAAGGAACTAGGTTCCATGAATCTGGGCTCCAGTTTGTGGGCCCCTCGCAGGTCTGACTGTTCCCAGCTTCTTGTTGGTCCTCTTTCCCCAAGTCCTCAGGAAAGGGTACGCTGGCCTCTGTGAGGGAGAGATCAGCTGGTTCCAGTTTCACGGGCTTTGTCTCCCAGCCATCACCTCCCGATCGTTTACCTGGAACTTGTACACCCGCGTCAGGCTTGCGGTCTTGGAGGAGCTGGTGGACGGTCTTGAGCTTCACGCTGAGGAGTTCCCGCTGGGTTCCAACCAGCATAGTCACCCTGCAGAAATATCCACTCAGGGGCTGCTCAATCTGTCTCTGTGGCTTCCCACTCACCCCGCAGATTCTCACCGCTCAAATAGGGGGTCCAGCTGGGTCATGAGGTTGTTGAGATGCTGTTCTGTCTGGGCCAGCTGTTGTGTCAACTGCACCAGCTGTTGCTCTGGGAGGAAGGTAGATGGGATGGTTCCTCCCTGAGTCCCCTGACCGACTCCCCCACAAAAACCACCACTACAGCTGCTCAACCCACCTGCCTGCAAGGATTTCTTCTTGTTTTTTTCCTCTTGGAGAATGGTAGCCTCATCCGGGCCCTGCTGTGGAAGCGGGAAAGGGTAAAGCTGCAGCACCTCAGTCCTCAATGGCAGTAAAGACAGGGACCAGAGAAGCTCTGGGCATTCACCTCAGAATCACAATAGTTTCTAGCCCAGCTGCTTACCCAGAACGTGAAAGAACACGCCGGTATGCCCACATATGGCTACACTGCCAAAGCACTCCTTGGAATGTGAGACTCTAGAGCAGGAATCTAAAGACTGGCCGGCCAGACGCCTGCTTCCTTGTTTAGCATCCCCACCCTCTGTGTTGCCTTTGAGATAGGGTCTCGTTAAATTGCCCAGACAGGTTTTGGATTTAAAATCCTCCTGCTGGCCGGCAGTGGTGGCGCACGCCTTTAATCCCAGCACTTGGGAGGCAGAGGCAGGCGGATCTCTGTGAGTTCGAGACCAGCCTGGGCTACAAGAGCTAGTTCCAGGACAGGCTCCAAAACCACAGAGAAACCCTGTCTCGAAAAAAAAAAAAATCCTCCTGCCTCAACCTCTGGAGTAGCTGGGATAGCAATTCTGTGCCACTAGGTCTAGCTCCCTCAGTTTCTGCTGGTATCAAGTCCCCAGTCTGACAAATTAGTTTTCAATTTACATCTTACTGAATATATAGTGCTCTTAAAGGCAGTGCCCTAAGGTTTTAGGATATAATTCTCTCACTGTTCAGACGGGCAGACCCTTTAATTGGACCTATCAACTGCAATGCCTACCTCTCTCTTCCACAGGTCCTGCAGCTTGTCTCCCTGACCGCTTAGCTCCATTCACAGGACAGGACTAGCATTTATTAATCCTCATTCCGGCCTGTCTAGTCTGCCTGGCTCGTTACTAGCCATCTTGGCTAGTTTTCTGTCACTAATTAGTTCAGTCTCTATTTCCTAATACAAGCAATTGATCAGAACTGAAGATACAGCCCTAGGTAGTAGGTACCACTCTCTAGTTCAGCCCCATCAGAATGTACTGTTAGTTCATATTTCAGGCCTTCCTTTCCAAGGAGAACATGAAAGGCTTGGTGTCTGGCATACTAACACCCTCCTTGGGCCAAAGTTGGAGCCTCAGCAGTAACTGCATTGTCCCGCATATAGACACTATGGTTGGGTTAAAATCTCACTTTCATCAGACACTAGGTGAATGATGGAAAAAAAATCGCTCTTCACTGAACTGTGGGAGGATTAAGTAACGGTCATTAGCTATCCTCTCCCAGGCGCCTTACACCCATTACTTCTCTAGCTCCTCGAACCTCCACGATGTGGGAAAACCAAGGAACTAATTAGTCTTCATTTCACAGGCGGCCGGGAAACGGGTTCTTGTTCTTGGCACCGTGGCGCCCCCAGGAGATTGAGGCCCAGGACTCCCCCAACCCACGGCCAGACCGCACCTGTAAACACTTGTACAGCACAAAAGCCACGACGGCAGCGGTGTACAGCGCCCCCAAAGGCAGCGCTCCGGCCCGGGCCCGCTCGCGCTGGTCCTTGGGTGGCGGCCGCCGCCGGGGTTCGGTGGCCCCGGGACCGACCTGGGAGCGGTGTTCTGTGGATTAAAGACACCAGTCAGCGGACAGGACGCTTCTCCCAGGCAGTCCAAGCCTCCCTCCTGCAGCCCTCGCTGGTACCTGGGTGTGCCCCCAGATCGGGGCTGGGGCGCTCTCCCTGGACCCCAAACAGCGCAGACACAAGCAGCAGCCCCAGCACGCTCGACACGGGGCCCGCGCCCGCCATGCCAGGCTCACCGAGGAGGTGCGCCAGAACCCCCGCGTTCCAGCGTTGGCGTCCTGCTGAAGTGCGCACGCGCACACGACCGCAGCCGCTCCCGCCCTAGGGCGCCTCGGATGGCCACGCCCATCGCACAGGGCGGGCCAAGTAATATTTGCATAACACCACGCCCATCTCACTTTCCTACAACAGTTAATTTCCTATCTATTTATATATTCCTTAAAAAAGAATGGCTCCAGGATCTATAAGTATAAAGTATCGTGCCTAAAAGAGTGGCTCATTGTATTTAGAACTGAACGGACCAATTTCCTCACCATAAGCAGAAAATAAGGGCAGTTTTAGAGCTATAAATCGGTGCGCTGTCACCGGCTAGACAGCTCGCTCTGAAGGCCTGTTTCCTAGGCTACACACGAGGGACCAGTTCCTTAACCTTTCGCCTAGGGGAAAGTCCCCGGACCACGGGCAGAGAGTGCCGCGTGCGCACGCGCGTAGACTACCCCCGCGAGTCACTGCTACCCCGCTAAGAAGCGATCCCTTCGGGGCGAGCCGAGCGGCGTGCAGCGGGACGTCATCCGTCAGCTCTCCTAGTGACGCAGGCAGTGCGCCTCGGCGCACCAACCGAACGGGGCTCATTCTCAGCGCGGCTGCTTTTTTTTTTTTTTTTTGCATCTTTTGTCTTTCCCTGTACCTTTTACTTGATTGTGGTGTATACCGGTAATCTTCGTGGAAGCAAGAGGATCAGGAACTCAAAGTCACCTCCACCCTCGAGACATGAGACACGAGACGTGAGACACGAGACACTTGCTAATAGAAGAAAGAAAAAGATATATATGACTCCAAACTAGGTCATGTGGTAATGGGTAACAATGCAGTATCACCCTATCAGCAAGTGATTGAAAAGACAAAAAGTCTTCCTTTTAGAAGCCAAATGTTGGCCATGAATATCGAAAAGAAACTCAATCAGAACAGTAGATCAGAGGCTCCCAACTGGGCAACCCAAGATTCTGGCTTCTATTAAAGAATTCTAAAGAAAAGAAGAAAAAGGAATCAATAAAAGACACAGTAACCATTATATATATAAAGAACAACATACATTTTTAGGAGCATTTGACATGTTTGCTGTAAATTTTGGAGAATTTGAATAAAATTGGCCATGATTCACTTTAAAAAAAAGATATATATATACTGTTTTCTGATATTTATTTATTTATTTTTTAATTAATTTATTTATTAAAGATTTCTGTCTCTTCCCCACCGCCGCCTCCCCTTTCCCTCCCCCTCCCAAGATATATATATATATCTTAACTTCTAATTTATTCTTTCTTTAGTATGCTGCTAATGCCAAGAGAGCATATCGCCGTATCTCTTTTCCTGTTTTACTGTCCGATCCTAGCAAAGACACTAGCGGGCGCTTGAGGAATGGCATGGAATGAATTAATGTTCAGGTAAATAGAAACTAGGTTCTTCTGGGTCTCATGTAGCCTAGGCTGGCTTCAAACTCGCTACGTAGCTGGTGCTGGCCTACAACTCCTAATCCTCCTGCTTCTACTTCCCACATGCGGGGTTTATAGTCATGCAGTACCCACACAAGGTTAATAATTAGAACTGCCAGACATGGTGACACACTCCTTTAATCCCAGCGCTGGGTGGCAAAAGCAGGCGGATCTCTATGCATTCAAGGCCCAGTCTGGTCTACATAGCGAGACCTTGTCTCGGAGAAAACCAAGAAACTAGGACATGGAGTTACACCCTCTGTCCCATCTTGTGTTATTTGTGTGAGACAGTCTCAGCAGCCCATGCTGGCCTAAAGTCCAAGATCCTCTTACTGTAGTCTATGGAGTGTTGGGCTACAAGGTATGCAGACAGCATGCCCAACTTTCCCTGTTAACTTTTAACTGGGCAACACCAGGCCATCTTCTCAACTAGGGAAGAAATGCGTTCCATTTGCTTCTCTGTCTTCAGGGCTTGTCAATCACCAGGCAAGACACATGTGTTAAATAAATGAATAAAATGTGGGGACTGATGATTGTTTTTCCATAAAGAGACACAGAAGGGCAGGGCAACGGAAGCTGTCAACGACTGATTTCTCCAAGATAGCTGGGATGGGAAGGTGGAGTGACAATGGTTGGCACAGCGCCATGTCTAGGTCCAGTCTATGGTTTGCATCACTCTCAACTGAGGGCTGCTTTTTTGTCTGTCATGTAGTCCAGGCTGGCCTCAGAACTCACTATGCACACAGCCAAGGATGGCCTTGAACTTTCGGGTGGCCTACTTTTCCAACCTGTGCACTGGGACTATAAGTGTGTGCCATCAAACCTGGTCTTCAGAA